GATCCTATCCAGAAGTGGATGTGCACGGCGAGAGGTCCTCTCACCGCCCTCCCTCCTCCGTAGATGGTCTGCTCAGAGGCGGAGTACACCAGATAGGCGTCTCCGCGGTAGAACGTGCCGTGCTCCGTCTCCGGGACCGGAACCAACTCCTCTCCATCCACCCTCCACACCAGAAGCGCTGGTGTGCTCGGGATGACACACGCGAAGGCCGGGGGGACGTCCACCATGTCTGAAGGCTGCGCAGAACTGCTGAAGTTCCTCCGCTACTGAGGGTCTTTATAGCCAGACTGCACGCTTCATAAAAACGTCAGCGTTGTTGCTGGTATTCGGTAGCGTGAATTCCACTTCTGCGTGTTTTTAACGTGACAAAGGTCGTAGGGGTAGCGAACTTCATTGGCATCACGGCGAGTGAGAGATCTGGGTTCTTTGGGCTGTGGTCTTCCAGTTATTGTAACCACAAGCATCGCAAGACATGTCGGAAAACAACGCAGTAGGCAAGCTGGCATGCTTATGAATAGGGGAGAGTGGGGAAAGATGCCCAGGGTTTTGCTATGTCATATATTATTCGAAAATGACGATGGGAAAGCAAAAACTTGGAGTTTCAACGGAAGCCGGCATCATTTTTCTCCAAAAACATCACACTTTCGTGCCTGAAATACTATAACTTTTTTTGCTATTAAGCATTTTCCTGAAGAAGTGAAAGGGGACATCTTACCCCACAGGGTGGGAAAGACGCCCCCTGACGTTGGGAAAGATGCCCCCTGCACTATAAGTGACATAAATGGGCATGTGAATCGCCTGAACGAATCAGTAGTCCCTTCGAGCCTGCAGTAGACACCAAACGTCATCATAAGGGCCCTCAAAAGTAGTCGTAAGGGGCTTCAGAGGTCATCATTAGGGCCATCATAGTCCAGCGCGGCCAAACAAGCCTCCGTGGTGGCGTTCGGAGACCACTGTGGGGCTCTTATAGGTCTTCATGATGCTTGAGGGCCCTCGAGCCCATCGTGGGGACTTCCGATGCCAGCGCGGCCCGTGGGGCCAACGTGGGAACCCTCAAAGGATGTCGTGAGGGGCCCTGGAGCCAATAATGGGGCCCACAGAGGCCGTCGTGAGGGCTCTCAGAGTCAGATGCCGCCCAAAAAGTCGCTATGTGGGCCGAGAGACCGGCGTGGGGAGCACCCGACCGTACTGGACTCTCAATAGTCCCAGATCGGCTTTTGTCTACATCACAAGTATGTAATAAATGATTTGACGGGCTGTTTGAAGGACAGCCTACGGATTTAGGGGGGCGTCTTTCCCCATCAGGACAGGGGGCATCTTACCCCAAGGTACCGAAGTAACATTAAATCAGTACAATTTGTTAGCCATAAAACTACACCCTGAAACAAACTGTTTGGGACACAGTACACGCATGCTGATGTATCACAACTATAGCAAGGGACGCAAAAATTATTTACCTTCTTTGATATTTACAATGTTCTGACACCGAAATAATTTTTGAAAGCAGCAAATAAAAAACATGCAATCATCAGCCAGCCGTTGCCCAACTGAGCTTCGCAATTTTTTGTGCAGTTAACAAGGCAGGCTTCCGCTTTACGCTAAGAACATTAATTTCCAGGTCCGATTCTTTGTTTCGCCGCTAGAGGGGGTGGGGCGTCTTTCCCACCCTGGGCATCTTACCCCACTCTCCCCTATTATATTTAAATCATGCTACTTCTGGAATGACAAAAGATGTGAATGGACCTCACATTGCAGTGTGATAATGCCAGACAGCATGCACTTATGAATTGGCTAAATCTAAAAAGAAATCAAAGTCACAATTTATTTCTAGTAGCCCCCAATGCGTTTTAACGATAAGCTTACGATTCTGCTGCTGACAGTGCCTGCAATTCACAGACCGACATGCGATCATATATTATACATTCATTTCATGGTCATTTTTGTCAACGCTTATCAAAATGCTCCTCTGTAACCCTTTACATAACTATCACGTTTTACATGAACTCCAATTCTGAGAGTGTGAAGGAGCTGCTGACGTTAATAGCGTATGACAACATTATTCAGCTACTGCACCACATAATTACCAATCTCGTACAGTGACATCACAAAGCCAATGACGTCAAAATGACGTCACAAAGCAAATGACGCACAGTTACACCATAAACTCCAACTCTTGGTGCTGCTGCTTCTAGTTTCACCCTTACTGCGCCATTGCGGTGTCTCATTCCTTGACGGAGGGCTTGGGGCTCTTGCCATCGACTCCAGGAACCTGAAGCTATGCCGCGGGTGAGGTGGTACAGCATGCATCGTACACCCGTCTGTTGCTCCAGAGTCCAGACTCCGTGCACCGCCATCCACAACTCAACACTCGTGGCACGGACGAAGTGCACGCTCCACTAGGCTCTGGAATGTTGTAAGACGAGAAGTTATTATGTTGAACGACATATTGTCCTAGTTTGAAAGACAGGAGATGAACATTATGTTTACAGTCATTAGTAGGTATGTGGTTTGGAATTTTACCCGCAGCCAACGCTAGAAACACGGAAATACCCAGAGAGTGCTAGGTCTAATTTCAGTCAGCCCAGGCCACAGCTTGATGCCAGAAAATGAATGAGTTCTTGCCTCTGAAAGCCCCAGACTACCTAACTGGTAACTGCTGAGGATTCCACAAACTCGTTAGGTTCGCGACTGACGTTGCATATTTAACTTGTTGCATCACCGAGAGCAAGAACAGTGTTTGCAGATGAGCAATGACCTGGGAATGCGGAACTGCATGCGTAATAATTACATTAGCTTAGCAATGTCACGAAGTGGACGATCTCTGTACTACTTAGCATATGGAGATGTATTTTGTTTCGACGCCAATATCGATCTGTTAACTACTGAATACCGGGTACCGGATATTACATGTGCAATGCATGCAGTACGCACAATTAATACAAAACATTTACCTGGTTAGACGTCGGTTAAGTACGAAAAGGTAGGTACGCACAACAAAATCTATGGCCGTTTTGCCACAATTGAGCCAGAGGCTCGCGAAAAATGATCCTGTTAAATATCCTGGAACGTAGAGTGCTATCATTTTTGAGGTATCAAGTCAACCGGCGACCTCTGAAGCAGGCTAAATACCCAATTAAGGCCCGTTTTTAGCCCGCCTTGTTAACCCTATTCCTGGCGGGCTCCGCCGGGACAAGAAACTGGCGGGGGGGGGCCGATTCGGCCCCCCCCTGAGATCTCGAGAACGAAGCAAGATAGCGACAAGCGGTAAACGGCATCGGATACGCACGGCCAAGATCTACAATTTTTACAAAGGTCATTTTCAGGTCAGGTCAAAGATGACGTCACAGGGGTCGAAAAAGTCAAAATGGCGGCACTAGATATGGAGAGAGTTTTTCTCGAATAACTTTCGAATTAGTCAAGATAGGAACAAACTAAGGGCATCATCGTGATCCTCTCGTCAATCCGCATCGAATGATATATATGTTGACCTCGAAAGGTCAAGGTCAAAGGTTGACCTCAGGTCACGTGACCTCGAGGTCATCATGTATATCATTCGATGCGTCTTGACGAGCTGAACACAATGAGACCATCCACGCGTCTGTATCTTGTTCCTGTACGGAGTTATTGGCCAAAAACCTTTGGTGACCTTTGATGACGTCACATGACCTCACAGCTGCCCAACAGCAAAACAGACCTCAAGGTAGTGAAGGTTGATCGTATATGAAGTCATGTATGGTATATGGGGCCATTCCGACCCGTTTTAGTGGTAAAAACAGGGAGTTGATTTTTCCCCCATTGACTTATAATGGGGAGGTCGCGAAATTGACCTGACCTTAGGTCACCGATATCAAAATTCCGAGATATACAAATTGCACATACTGGTACCCTAACTAAACCCTGAAGAGAAGAAATTGATCGGTCAAAAACTCTAGCTCTGGCGTGATTGCAAACTTTTCTGAGGTAGCGTCACCAAACCGCCTCTGGTGACCTGACCTGAGGTCAGATCATCTCAAAATTTTCAGACATGTTGCGTAGAAGCCTTTTAGGAAAAGTCAGAAAATTTGAGCTTCCTAGCTCAACGCGTTTGGGAGATATAACCAAAAAACCTCAGGGGGGGGCTCCTGAGGCCCCCCCCCGCCAGGAATAGGGTTAAACACTATTCACCAACAGCCGAAGAGATGGAGTTTGGCAATTTTGCCTATGTGATTTCTAGCCATATATCACACTGAGTCATTTTGTTCGGAAAATGTCAATTTTGGTGCTGAGCTCAGATCGTGGTCACGTCAGCAGTCAAACCCACCCAGGGCAGCAGGTGTTCAGGAAAGACCTTCTTCATAGCATTTGAGTGCTCTTGTATCTTATCCTTCTCATTCTCTCATCCTGCCACCATTTTTAGACATCACCATCATTAGATAAGCTTCTCCAATGCATTCAGGCAAAGGTTTTAATTGATGAGAAATATAAATAATGGAGAATGGGTATGTTTGACAGATGCTGAAACTACAACATAGGCATCAATTAATATTCAGCATGGTACTCTCTACTGGCTATAAAATAATGCAAAGGAATCAGTATGCATGTCATGAAGTGTGGTTGGGGTTTTATTGCATTTAAACTTTTACAATGCAATCGGAACTGCGCACCTGCACGTATACTGATGCCATCATCGTATAAAAATATTCCTTCAAACAAAAGTCGCTGACTCAAAACCAATGGCAGCAGAGGCGAACACAGGAAACGATGTTTAGCAGCAATGAAGTCGCTCTATGGGTTCACTCCCTTGATGACCTAAATACGCCACAGGCCCACAGCATAATAAACAGCTCATGCAGACTGCAGAGCACCGTGGCATGCAGCACAGCAGTCTGTAAAACAAGCCACCTCCCCTCCCCTCCCTCTGGAGGCGCCTCCGGAGACGCCGGGACGACTTCCTCGAACTAAGGAAACGGGGCTTGATAGATAACGCCATGCTCCGTGGTGCCCCCGGCCTGCCTCCGTCCGCGGTCCCGAGCGGCCAGTCGCGTGCCGCGGTAGCGAGAGCCGTCAGTTGCAGCGGAGCTGTGTGGCACGACGCAGCTAAGGTGACGCCCGGCGAGATCGCGCCAGAGTTCACTCAGCCGCGACTGAGTTGTTTTGTGCGACGTCTGCACCGCCTTCGCACTGCGATGGCAAACGTGGACCCGGCGTTCGCGTGTGTCATTCCGGACACACCAGCGTTTTTAGTGTGGAGGGTGGATGGAGAGGAGTTGGTTCCGGTCCCGGAGACGGAGCACGGCACCTTCTACCGCGGAGACGCCTATCTGGTGTACTCCGCCTCTGAGCAGACCATCTACGGAGGAGGGAGGGCGGTGAGAGGACCTCTCGCCGTGCATATCCACTTCTGGATAGGATCAAAGACCAATGTCGAAGCAGCACGAGTGGCGGCTAGCAAAGCGGTGAAGCTGGACAGATTTCTTGGAGGACGGCCCGTGCAGCACCGAGAAACTGAGCGCTTCGAGAGTCCACGCTTCCGCTCCTACTTTCGTTCTGCCTTGAGGTATCTCGAGGGGAGCGCTTCTCAATCGGATGACTACAGTGCGAGGATGTTCCTCATTCGCGGAAAGAGGCGTCCTTTGATCTACCAGTCTCCGGCGGTCGCCTGGGAGTATCTGAACGACGGTGATGCCTTCGTCATCGTCACCGAACGCTTCGTGTTCGTTTGGTGCGGCCGCTCCGCCAACGGTCTCGAAAAGATACAAGCGGTTCGGCTTGCTCAGGCTCTCCACTGTGGGCGAACGGTGGTCGTTGTTGCTAGTGGAGAAGAGGATCGCATTCCCGCCGCTGCCAAAGAGGTCTTCACGTCGCTGCTTCCACTATCAAAGCGCGCAGTTCGCTCGGCTGATGCTGACAGCGAGGAACGTCACTGGCCCGATCGACGTCGTCCCGCTTCCGAGGTCGCCCTCTTTGTGGTTTCCGTCGAGGGAGACGAAGTCCGACCGCAGCTGGTGAAGACCGGAGATCTCTCCCAGGGTGACCTTGTGCCAGATGATGTCTTCATCGTCGACGTCGGCTATGTCGTCTGGCTGTGGGTGGGGCGTCGTGCGCAACAAGAGGAACGAGCCGAGGGAGTCCGCTTTGCCGAGGAGTACATGAAGCAAACCGGTCGTGCTCTGAACGTCCCACTCTGTCGGGTGGTGGATGGAGGAGAACCGGCTGAATTTCGGAGCCTCTTTGGCGTCTGGGTAGACTCTGATGAAGCAGAGGAGGCAGCCGCTGCTGTACCAGCTCTGGGTCGAGTCGCCAAGACGGTTGCGGCCAAGTTTGACGCGGCAATGTTGCACAACAACACCGCTCTGGCCGTGGAGACTCAACTGGTCGATGACGGCAGCGGCCAGAAGAACGTTTGGCGTGTTCAGAATGGCGAGGTAGTACCGCTAGACGAGAATCGCCATGGGGTCTTCCGGGCAAGTGACTGCTACGTCATCCAGTACTGCTACCGTGTCGCAGGAAAGGATCGTTTCCTGGTGTACTGCTGGCTCGGAGCATGCAGCAACGCTGCAGATCAAGAAGCTGCTGCGGTTCGAGCCATCGAGCTAGACGGAAAACTCCGCGGGCGAGCGGTTCAGGCGCGTATCGTTCAGGGCGAAGAGCCTCCTCAGTTCTTCGCCATCTTAGGTGGAAAGATCATCATCTACTCTGGGGAAGAGCCTGACGGAGACGCGGAACGGCTGCTGCTTCACGTTCGCAGTAATCGTCGCCACGCCACCCGTGCTCTGGAAGTGGCCTGTCGCGCTTCGTCCCTCAACTCCAACGACGCGTTTGTTCTTCGCGACGGAGGACGCGTGTTTGTCTGGTGCGGGAAAAACTCTGTGTGTGAAGAGCGCGACGCAGCACGTAGCATCGCCTTCGACTTCTGTAAGGACAGCGAGCCTCTGATCATTGAAGAAGGCGCTGAGCCGTCTGCATTCTGGGATGCAATCAGCGGTCATGAGGAGTTCGATACCACACCAAGAGCGACCCACCAGGTCCGCATGCCGGCGCGTCTGTTTCACTGCTCCGACGCATCCGGAAAGCTGACGGTGGAAGAGGTGGCTGACTTTGACCAGTCAGACCTCTGTGAGGACGACGTCATGCTTCTGGACGCCTGGGACGCCGTGTTCGTCTGGGTCTCAGTGCGTGCCAACCGCGCTGAACGCCGCCGCAGCGAGAGGGCTGCCCTGGAGTACCTCAGCCGCGACCCGGCAGGACGCGGGGAGAACATCCCCGTCTATCGAGTGCACCAGCAGGCGGAACCTCCCATCTTCACGGGGTTCTTCCCTCACTGGGACCCCGATTTCTGGGCGGCGCAGCCGAGCTGGCCGGTGGTGAAGCAGACAGTTACTTCGCCAACGGCCTCAGCCAATGGGAGTGATGAGAGCGATAGCTGCACCACCCAGCGGCCAGAAAACACACCAGTGTTTCCCCTGGAGGCGCTGCAGTCGCGCCGGCCTCCCGAAGGTGTTGATCCATCACGCAGAGAGGACTTCCTCTCCGATTCAGATTTCTCAGCGGTCTTCGGCATGACCAGAGAGGAGTTTCAGCGCCTGCCGCAGTGGAAGAAAATGCAGAAGAAGAGGAAGGCTTCACTGTTCTAAATTTGCGGTGGTGTATTCTTTGGGATGAGCTGTGCGATGTAGCGAGAACACACGAGAGGGGTGAAAATATTGTTTTGAAAGTGCCCACCTGCTTTGTTGGAGTGCACTCAGAGGGAGAGAGAGAGAATAACTCTTCACTCCTGTGTCTTGTTTGATCTGGTGATCAGCTGTGCTTTGTGCCATATTTTGCATATGCTACCGAAAATCTAAAAAAAAGGCTATTTGCATAATAAATGAAGCTTGTGAGTTGTGATTACACGCGCTTAGCCTGGTGGACATAGGCGGCGGAACGGGGAGGGCGCCGGGGCACCGTGCCCCCTTTAATTTGGGAACTTTAACATTAGCCCTGTGGGCATTGCATGGAAAGAATGGGACCAAAAGTCGGCAGTGCCCCCCCCCCCTTAATTGAAGGTGTTCCGCCGCTACTGCTGGTGGAGTATTTATGGGCTATTTTTTATGCAGAGAAATAATAATAGATTACAGGAATTTTTAGCAGCACCGTTTATAGCCCATGACATAGACGTCAATCATCAATCCGATTTGCACTCCTCAAAACGTTTTTTTTTTTCAAGCGTTTGATTACAAGCGGGCGAATTCTTACTTAGAATCGCTGAAATTTCTGAGCATGATCGGCCTGCCGGCCGTGGGGACGCTTTTGCAGGGCTAAAATCTTCGCCACCGCTGGACTGATTCTTGAGGTATTTTTTGTAGGTTAGCTTCATCCATTCTACCAAGCATTGCACTGTTACCGATGCATATGGGTGACCCCTCATGCACGTGCAAAACGAAGAGATGTCAGTTTTGGAATAATTACAGTAACTCGGTACTCGACAATACTGGATCGCTGAAACTTTGCATGTATCCAGCCTGCAGGCACCCACCTGGCAATATATATTTTCATGTGTCACAGCTGGGGTGTTACTGCGCGTGCGCACGTGCAGGGGGACAATTTCATATCTCGAGAATGGCTGGGCCGATCGCGCTCAAATTTCGCACACCGTTAGACACATGTACGTAGGATACCGTGCACGAGTCAGTTGTAAGTACCTCCACGCAGTTTCGTACGTACAGGCCCCCCTCTCGTTCGCTCGTTTATCGCCCGAAAAGGCGTGTTTCTGATCTACACCTTTACATAAGAAACGACGACACGACGAACAAGGTGCCTACTACTCTAAACGCTGCCGCCTGCCCTGGACACTGAGAGTGCTCACTGGCACTCCCTTCTGTACCTCAGACAACACACCCTGGTTATCGATTCATGGCCGCCGGAATCTGTGTGGAAATGCTCCGGGGAGGTGCTGCAACGCTGCACTTCCGGTCGAGCCGGCTGACTTCCGGTCGGTTTTCCGCCAGACGCCGGTCGCTCGACGGAAGCCACGCTGATTGGGCGGACTGGGGCACATCCGCTGAGGCGGGGCCGGTATATACTGGGCGGGATGCTAGGCTGGCCACCTTTTTGAAACTGAACACAAAGTCTGAGGGGTTTTCGAATGAAAGGTTTACATCAGGGATGCGGAGCCGGAGCCGGAGCCGGAGCCGGAGCCGCCGGAGCCGGCATATTTTGCCCGGAGCCGGAGCCGGAGCCGTGAAACAATATAACCCGGAGCCGGAGCCGGAGCCGGAGCCGTCAAAAAAGGGGCGACTCCGGCTCCTTTTCTTACGAGGAAACAATTATTTACCTAGTTCGGTTTGACAGTACAAGGCGTAAAACAATGTGGTATTCAAAATAGCCTTGTTATACAAATACAGAAGCAACGTGTACCAATCCCATCGCCTTTTTTTCTTCCACCCGTATTTAATTGATCGCATAGGGGATGTACTGAGTAGAAGCCGGAGCCGGAGCCGCCGGAGCCGGACCATTTTACTCGGAGCCGGAGCCGGAGCCGGAGCCGCCATGACATTTCACCCGGAGCCGGAGCCGGAGCCGGAGCCGATTTTTTTTCTCCGGAGCCGGAGCCGGAGCCGGAGCCGTCTGAAATTTCCACGGCTCCGCATCCCTGGTTTACATTGGCCGGTGCTGGATCAAAGCGTGTCTTGTCATGGACCGTTTAGCCCTAGCATATTATGTGAAGTCAAATGATTGATGGGCGCGAGGTGAGCCTCGATTGCTATTGGCTTGATGTATTTAGCTACGTAGTAAAACCCGTAATTATTAGGAAAAAAAAACTTATCTTCGTATCGTGACGCCGGTTAAGTAATTTCACGGGACCACTTCTGGCCCTATGAATTTATAAACAGCTTTACGTTTACATGGACCTGATGCGTGTTTTAAGTCTCTGGATATTTATTTAGTAATCTATAAATTCTGTGATCCATTTTCTAAATAAGGTACATCTTTGAAGAGCTACCATCATTACACGAATTTGCGACTTTTTTTTGCACCGTGGCAGTGTTAAGCGCCACATATCTATCAAGCGTGGAGTCAACAGATGGACGCATCCATTAGTTTTGATGGGATCTATAAGCGCTTTCGTTATAAGCAGGGATGCGGAGCCGTGGAAATTTCAGACGGCTCCGGCTCCGGCTCCGGCTCCGGAGAAAAAAATCGGCTCCGGCTCCGGCTCCGGCTCCGGGTGAAATGTTATGGCGGCTCCGGCTCCGGCTCCGGCTCCGAGTAAAATGGTCCGGCTCCGGCGGCTCCGGCTCCGGCGGCTCCGGCTCCGACTCAGTACATCCCCTACGCAATCAATTAAATACGGGTGGAAGAAAAATTGGATTGGTTATACGCGTTACTCTTTGCCATGACCGGCTCACCGCGTCCCCGCGCAAACGCACCTCGGAGAGAACTGGCAGAACAAAGGGCTAGGAAGCGATGGCATTGGAAACGCAGTCGCCGCGAATCGGAGTTCTGTGAACCATCGTAAGCTGACACCCGTCTCGGCTGCATTGGGGGGTGAGGGGTGGGGGGGGGGGATGAGACGGTGCTGGGAGTCGCAGTCCACTGCACTGGTTTGAAAACAATGGCCGTCACCTGATGACTGGTCCTCATGTTCTGGGGATGCAGTAGACGTGGGGGGGGGGGGGGGGGGGGAAGAGCAAACAGGAAGTTGTTTGCGTACTTTGGGATACTGGGGATATTCGGATTTTTTCATTCACTTGATGGCCCATGACGTAAGTACCATATGTTTTACTGCCTTGTACTGTCAAACCGAACTAGGTCAATTATTTTTTTTTCCTCTTCAAAAAATAAAAAGGAGCCGGAGTCGCCCCCTTTTTTGGCGGCTCCGGCTCCGGCTCCGGCTCCGGGCTATATTGTTTCACGGCTCCGGCTCCGGCTCCGGCTCCGGGCAAAATATGCCGGCTCCGGCGGCTCCGGCTCCGACTCCGGCTCCGGCTCCGCATCCCTGGTTATAAGTGGTATGACCATCCATTTCTGGATCATAGGGTGAGTGAATAAGATGCAAAACTGCAGAAATTTAACCAAGTCGAGTGTTGACCACGATAGTTACTGAATTGGTTGACGATGGTTACTGAATCCATCCTGCTGAGATGGGAGTGGATAAGCGACCAGGCGTTAAACGGCAATCCCGAATTATAGCATACCATGACGGGTGAGAACTTCCTCATCATTTGAATTTCAAGGAAAGTTTACTTCATCTGCTTTTGGGCACCAACTTCTTTGGTCTCCCTAGACGTCATCCGTTCTCCAACATCCGACAGCAAATAATTCCCCTAAAGTCGTATAGAATCCGGAGCGCTGGAGACGGGTAACTTATCCATATGGTCACAAATACGCCATTGCTGGACACCAGTACATACAGAGTTTACAGACATGCCTCATCTCGTAAGTAAACCAGGATTACGCTGAGGGCGATGAGCGAAATCGTGTGAAAGACTGACATCAGCGCCACTAGTGGTTAGCTATTTTACTAGTGGTAACAAATCCCATCACCAGACGGCAGTGCTAGCATTATTCTTCACTTTCACTCTGCGCCTATGCTCACCAGTCACCGTATGCACTTGCTCACATAAAACTCTTATTGGACATTTATCCTAATTACCTCCAGGCTAAAATCCTTCTGAAAATGAGGTCTGAATATATATTTACGCCAAGTCCATCGCGCTCAGAGGCCACTGACCCCTCTCACGAAGATGGCACCTTGGTCGCTGCGCTGACTCCAGACTCACCGGAGGGCATCGAATGATGGTCGATTATTCGGGCTCTGAGCGCACTGGTCGGTTCAAGGGCACAGCTTTGCCAGCCGAGGCCCCGAGGAGGCTCGCGCATCGTGAGCAGAGCTGTGGGAGCCACGTGAAGCGCTGTTTGGGTGATAGGGAGGGATAGGGAGGGGGAGGGGTGGAGTTAGGTCATCGTGAGGCGAGGGCATCGTAAAAGTCAGACGCGCTGAATAATGAGCATTTATAAAGGATGGAGAGCAGGGGCGTCGCCACGGATTTTTGAGTGGGGGGGTCGGGTTTCTAGTCTTCACCCGATGGGTAGGGGTGTTTTTTTTGCCACACTTCCCAGTTTTGTGCGTGCGTATGCGTGTGTGTGCGTGTGTAACAAATCGGCGCGCAGCGCCGCCAAATTTGGTATAACCTATTAGGTAGGTATACCTACCTACATCACTTGCGTAAAAATTATCACTGGTCACTTAAGGTCAGGTCGCCATGTCAAGTTCAGTTATACGGTATACCTCTATAAAAACTTTCCCCTCTCGCCATTCTTGTAGCTTTTCTCCCATAACTTCGAAATTTGGTACACTGTATATGTACCTAATGTATGGGGTTATACGTGTCAGCAATTTATGATTCTAACTGAGGATTTACATCTATGATCTGAAGGCAGGTCAAATACGTGACCTCATCATTAGAAAATAATGAGAAATTAGAAAAAGCACGAATGCCTCCTGCTTTGAAAAAGTTCGTCAGAAACGCAAAATATCTTTGGAGCCATGACAAATCAGCTCATCATTGCCGGGGACAGGGTGCAACTTATGGCGAGTGATGACTCGAAAGGTCATTAGTGGAAATGTCCATCGATGGCCACCAGCATTTTTTTTCTACAACTTTTGACGAAGACGCGGTAGAGCGATGACAGCACCTGGAAGGTGTTCACTGTTCAGCTCAACAACACGGGTCCATTCATATGCAGCAGGAGGTCCTTTTCCGATCAGGACATAACGTTGACCTGAGGTCGTTTTAACGTTAATTCTGAATGGGCAAATTTTAACTCATGTGACGCGTCTCAAAGAGATCAAGACGGTGGTGACAAGACAACATATGTACATACCATACAAATTCACGGAATCGAAAGTTATTGCAAAGCAGATGTTTCGGCAGAATCTCACCAGTTAGCTGTTTGCCTTCTTATGGGCCAAACATAGACCTGAGATGAAATCTAACGCGAAGCTAGCGAAAGAGCGTTAAAAGAGCTATCGAATAGTTTTCTGCTTCACTGTAGCCCTTCTATTGGTGGTTTCCCAGTCGCTAACGTATAACGTATACTAAACTAACGTTGAGGCATGCTTTCGACCCCTGATCGATCTACAGGTTTGCGGAAAAAATAGCATGCTTCCCGTGACGAGAGAAAGCCGATGATACCCATTTACAAGTTTTCGGGTCATCTCAGGACTCAGGTCATGGCCAATAAGTAGAGAAACTCGGGACCTGCTAGAACTTAACGAATGTAAGTTGTGATGGTTTTTCGAGGTTCTGATTACGAATGTTATCTTAGTTTTGAACGAAGATGATGACTCCATGCATTTGGGGTAGATCAGGTCAGGTCAGATCGACCAGTACCTAATAGTGGATGACCACCACCGATTGCTTCCTAGCATGTTATATGAATAAGCAACACAACTACTTCTTAAATGTTCAGATGGGCGCTAAGTTCAAAATCAGCTCCAAAAACTACACTATCAATTAAAAGCACGTTATGAAAAAGTGAACTAAGGTCATCTTTATTTGAATCAGGGATATCGATTTATTTTAAGTAGGTGATTAACTCGAGCGCACCGGAAGTTTTGTTGCATTCGGCTCCTTTTTGCGCGACTTCTTTGCGAAAGCCCGAGACGGTTCCATCTGCAACTCCCTTTCCCCTACATGTGCACTGTACAGCTAGTTGTGACGGTAGCCATGGGGCTGAGGCTAGTTTGTAGTTTTGTAGTTAGGTACTGATCCGACGAATCGACTGCGACCATTTTTTTTTAAACGATCAGACGAACGCTCGGGGCAGTTTTGGCGCGTCCAATCCTTTGAGGGATAAAAAGGTATACTAGGATGGGGGCTACTTAAAAACATTGTTGTGCTGGTGTTCCCCGCCCACAGCTAATTGACCTTTAGGTAATTGGCTAATTGGCTTTAGGGAGCTCTTGAAGCGATTTTGAATCTGATGTATTTGTTGGTGTTGCTGACGCCTGCTTCACTGACATAAAAGCTAAAAAAGCATACTCAGCATCGCAAAAAGTGGGGGGGTCGACACCCCCAGTTTTCAAGAGTGGGGGGGTCACGACCCCCCCGACCCCCCCGTCGGCGACGCCCCTGATGGAGAGGAAGCATGGTGACTGTAAAGATTCTTAAAAACGCTTGGGACTCAGCTTCAATTCTGTTGAACTTAATAATGATATCTTATTACTGCTTTTAGTTGTTGTTTTTTTTATAAATTATCACATCAAGTTTTATAATCCTTTTTTCATAAGAGTTGCCTTGATGATTTTTCATCAGCGTAGATGAAATATAACTAAAAAAAATCACTAAAATTACACTAAAGAAATTCAACACAGAAAACTGGATTTAACGCTTAAAATTGGATTAGGTAATAAATAAAGTGAAAATTTAAGTAATGATTTTAAACAAAATTAAGTAACAAATAAAATCATCTCACTACGTCTTTTAGTTAGTTGAACCAGCCCATTTTCACCCTTGGCCATTTTTTGCTGTTCGGCAACCATCCGTGATCCGTTGAGTGACTAGGTGACCTGTGATACCGTACCGGGACACAATCATCCAGTCGGGATGGACGCAGCCGGTGCGGCGGACCGTCATCTGCCAGTAGCCGACTCAGCCCAAATCTGAGTTCCTCTTGAGTTCATTACAAATAACTAATGTCGATTTCGGCAGGTGTTTCACTTTTGGCGATAAGCGGTTTTTCACTGGCGTGCGTCAATGTGCTTGCGTTTGTTGCCTCATGCCTGCTCCAAAGCATAATGGTTTATCCTCAGTGACCGCACCCCGCAGCCAATGTCTCAGGGCATGCATACCAATGTCCCACCAGGCAACGTACAATTTATTCTGGCGACAGATGCGGACTGCAGTTTGGCACACCGCAGCCCAAAGTTTTGTGCGAAGGTCATTTTCTTCGAAGATTAGTTCCGTTGTTCGATTCTTGTAGTTGTGTCTGCAGTAGCTGCCATCGTTCATATGGTTTCTTCTCGAGAAGTCAGTGAAACGTGGGTGAAGGTCCATTGTGTTTCATGGTGATCTGCATGCTATTTGAGAAGAATACCTGCAGTATAAAATTGGTTCCTTTTCCATTATTTGTTTTCATTCTTATTTCATTACATTTTGTTGTTTATGTTTGTGTCATGCTGATAGCTCACTTGTGCCCAAAGAATAAATCAGCTATTAATGATAATGAGGCAATGAAAATGACGAGTAGTGCAGTGCGCATTTCCTCCTTCAGATGTCATGGTCTTCTTACGGACTGTTTTTCTTTTACTTTGCAAGTATTTTTACCAAGCCCAAAAAGGCCAAATGTTTTGAAGTGTGGTCTTATGCAACCCGAAAGCTCAAATTCCTTGTTGAAGATACTCAAGCTGCCAACAGCTAGGGACAAGCGGCCAGAACAACCTGAAGTCCAGGCTTCGAAATCAGGAGGGCCTTGGGCTACTGACCAAAGAAATCGATAATTTCAACAAACATTTTCCTGCAGCTCCCGAGGCTGTCGATGCGTAGGCACTGAACGCCTTTTAATGGTCAGTTTCTTGAAAAATAGCAACAGCATCGGCCTATTACGAAATCGGGTACCGCAACGACTGTCCAATCGACGCTCGAGTCTCATTTTCCTTCTCAACAGTAAAGGGTGTGTGGCATTTGTGCGCCTGATTAGATCTTTAACTTTGGTCTGGTAGGTAGGTCACTTAACTAGTTCTCTATGTCAAGGTCTAGTTCAGTTGATTTTAACTCTACGCGGAATGTAGGCGGACCTGGATGGGCGATCTAAATTCTGAATCCAGGTCACCGAGTTTCCTCAAGAGAACTAAGTAGGCACATGATTTGATCTGCTTCCTCACAGTCCTGCTTCGCTGAGGTGCACTTTATTCTATGTAAACCAGCGCGGGTGGAATCTGAGCCAGCTTTGGCCAGCTAGAGCTCAGGCTGAGGTGTAAGTGCGGGTGCTAAGCCAGGTGCTAAGCTAAGCGGATTCCAAATGCAGAAAATAGAGCGAGCTGGACAATGGGCATGTTGAAAGAAGAACAAAGTGGTCAATAGATGGATAGATAGGTAGATAAGCTTTATTTCAGACTCTGGGTCCATACTCTTCAATACTGATGATTTCAGCCATAAACTAAAGACAATTTATTGTCAATAAAGACATTGAATGTGAAATAGATAACATATCGCATATAGGTCGATATAGAGATAGCAAACCAGTCTAACAGCGCAATTGGAAAAATATGCGTCAACAAATACATGCCAATTGCCAGTCGCAGCCACGTCAATGCGGTGTGGCCGTGGTGTAGTGATTTAAATGTCTATTTATGTTTGTTACACTACTCCCTAGATCCTTTCAAATTCACAATTACCATCAGCTGATCTCTAACCAGCCGTGAGCAGTAGGATCTCAATTCTTTGAAATGGTCATCAACCCTGAGACACTCGGAGGATTTTCACCCATCAACGGATGTATCTAGCGGATAAAACTAACGGAAAAACCGGTTGAGGACTGACGAACGCATCACTTAAAAGTCCCATGACCCGGTCCCCTATTAGATCTCATGGACATCGCGTATTTTGTCTGTCAACAGATCCAAACAACTACGCACTACAGCTGCAGAGCTACGCCACATGCCAACTTCGTGGCAGGAGGCCACACCCAGCCATCTCATGAATGCCCCGCCCCGCCCCGCCCCTCCCGCCCCCTCCGCCTGCCCCTCCCACCTTAGAGGTCATGACCGTGGGGTCAGCGACCCGGCTGTGGCTTTGGAGGCGGCGCCGGGCCACCGACCCTCCCGCTGGCAGAACGGGACCAGTTTAGAGCACCAAGTCGAGCCCCGGTGGGCTGAGTGGTCGGCCAAAATCACCGGTTAATGAACTATGGTGGCGAAATGACAGCGGAGAGTCCGTGGTAACAGAGGACAGGGGTCACATTCCGGCACTGGGTACCAGGGGGTGGCAATGTTTGGCTGCAAGAAATTCCAAAAATATCCTTGTCGTACTTTTCCAGTCGACGCCTTCCTTGAATTACATTGATCGTATTGCGCAGGGTTAAGTTTTGAGGCTAGCAATAACTTAATGTCTGTATCGCCATGAGTGACATATCATATGCAGTCAATTGACCGATAAAAATAACAGAAGTTCCAGCTTGAATCACATGTTCACTTTACTAGCAGTTTACCTCCTAATTACTAATATCATAAGAGATATCAAAAATGAGCGTTTCGATTGTGGCGTAGGTAGTTCGATTTCACGCTTTTCCTTTATCATTAGGCAAAGTATAAAAACAGATGAGCAGAAATTTAATTTTTGCATATTGCAAAATAATGCTATTCGATTTCATCGAAATTTATTTTTGAAAAATGCTTAAAATATCAATTACAAATTGTGTTCTTGTGGACAGAAAAAAACGATCCAGCAGCCAATGAAAAAAAATCTTGCATAAAACAAATGGCCTGCATTACTTTTCTAAAAAATCAAACGTTTTATTTAGACATGCCCTCAAAACATTTTGCCATCGCACCGACGCCCCCAATCCCAACAGTCCCGTTGTTCCGTTCCGCACGTGTCCGGTCATGGCCCCCTTGGCGTCTTTTTCACCTTCCTCCGGTACCCCGCCCAGTGACCTTGAACTTGAAACCGCCCTGGGTCGCCGCCGCCGCCGCCGCCGCCTCCACCCGTCGCCGCCGCCGCCGCCGCCACCGCCGCGCCGCCCGCCGACGACGACGGTTGGTGCTCAGTGTTGCACGAGGCCCGGCCTGGGGTGGTGGTGGTGAGGGACGCTGCTGGTGACGACAGAACGAGGACAACAATCGCTGACGACGCAGCTGGGAGAGGTGTGAGGTGAGTGGGGTTGAGATCCCCCCTTGTTTGGGGAGGACTGACTGTGGTGTGGTGTTATTGGCTTGCGATAATTTTTTTATATTTGTTGAAAGTAATTAGGGGGCCGCGTTGGTTCTTCAAAATTGAAAACAAATGTCGAAATGGATTGAGAAGTCACATTGCAGCGCTGCATTGCACGGATATAAATGAATTTACGAAAAAAAAACGAAATATTTCCTTTTAGCCACTTCAAAATATGCTGATAGTTTCAGTCCTGCTGTTGTCATTTCAATACCTCAAAAACCGGTTTGAGGCTCGAAAATTCCCTGATAACTTCAGCCAACAATACAACGTTATTAAATGTTGCCCCTTATCCAGATCAGCCAAGTATTGCATTTCTTGTGACTCGGCTAATTGCTGCGCGAGAGACTCGTAGATTCTCGATGCATTGACTCATTTTGTTAATTGCTTTTTGGCTTATCGGTAGATATGAGCCGTTTCACGAGTTATCTGGCGAGTGGCAAACGCACCTAATTTGACCAAATCTGCACCTTATCTCTTTTATAACAAATATCTTCATGTCATGAATTTATCTCAGTCATGTTTTAATCGACAGCAATGCCTGATAATTTGATTAATGATGCCTGTAAGCATCTATGCAACCCAAACGGACAACTTTTGAGAAACACATTGAACCTAATTTGACCAACTATGCACCAAATCTGCACCTACTCTGCATCAAATGTGTACCAGATAGCCGTCGTGAAAACGGCTAATACATATATATGACTTTCTGGTTGGGACTGGAGCTCGACCACACATTTAAAGCAAGTGAATTATCAATAAGGTACCGCAGCGTTGCATAATTAAATGCAAAATCTGTTCCTATATTGTTTTTTTTTTCGGCTGGTGGTGCAGCCAAAACCGAATCTCCATACCAAACAACGCTGATGGGTAGACACTTCATGAGTGAATCAACCAATAAATTCCCTGTAGCCAGTTTGAGCTGGGAAACGGTGCAGGTCCTCCGCAGAAGAGAAGAAGTGAGGCCCCGAAAAGAAGCGAGGGTAGGGCCTTCACTTATTTGTGTGATTTAACTTACTCTGAATCTTTTCGCGGTACAGAATAGATGTAGCTTTCATCTTCAAATAAGCCAAATTATTTAAGGTCGTTTAGAACTTCTCGGAACATCACGCGAGAAAAGATAAACATAACAATTAAAATATGCAATGTAATTCCAGTTACGATGAAACAGCACGCTTTTATTATTTTTAAATTGTCTAGCGAATCGCTTTACATAATGAAAATAAAGCATTTGATAAGAAAACCTAGCAAAGGCGATGCACGCTTACCAGAGAGCAATTAGAACGTTTAACTCCATTTATCATTCGAGCATCCTTTGAATATTCTTTTTTATCGTTTATCACGGGCAAGCTAACTAACAAAGCATTGTTGTGCCAAATATTGTGATTGATTTTCCAGGAATAGAACCAAAAATACATCCCAATCGAATGGATAATCTCTTTTAAGCCACCAAGCTTCCTTATCCACAAGACCAGCTTCCAAGTAATCCCTTCCTTGAGATCTTGCAGATAAACATGGTTTAAAAACACTGCACAGCTCTGTTGTTACATAAAGCCACACTTCAACATCTTCCTGTTCATATTCACAGGTAAAGTTGTTTCTGTTTTACGATACAAATGACGTCACTAAAGCTCAGCTGACTCTGGTCAGCTGACTCTGGTCTAGCTCCGTTGCGGTCGTTGGGCGCTCTGAATAGCGTCTTCACGATAGAGCGTCTCTTCAAGGTCAGCTGACCACACCTGGGTGTGAACGACCCCGGTCAGGAGGATCCATGAGGGAGGGGGGGGGGGGGGCGTGGGGGGGGGGGGGGCGGGGGGGAGGTCAGTGACCTCTCCAGACAGGTGTGATGGGATGCTATTAGCGGGACGAGTTTTGAAGTGGGCTTGGATAGATGTGGTAGGTGTGGAGATGGAGGTTGGTCATGAAACTCAGGCATCAGAAAGGCAACCGGTACGAATGCGATACGCCGAATTATCCAAGTTTGGTGGTTATATGTTTGTAAATGTTGACAATATTCGGAAATTGGAAGCAGATCCAAATGATTTCGGATAGCCAGTAAGCCTGAGATGTCAAAAATATCGAGCTCACTGCAGGACATGTGTGCATGCATTCATTTCAAACATAAAATGCAATATTTTGGATTATTTATATCAGCACGGCGCTTGTTACCGTAATTCAAACACAAGAAACGAAGTTACAAAGAAATCATCGGCAGTCGACACCCTGTAATGGCGATGTAAATGATGTCTTTTCTCTGGGGAAAAACAAAGCTTAGTGGTCGCAAGAAAAACACCTTGATGCCCACAAAACCACGCAAACCGTCAATATTTGCGTAAGACGCCAATCCGTCATAGGTGTTTTTGCCGGACTAAAGAAGCTCCCATTGTTCGGACGCTGATGTTACGCAGAAGCTGTCAGTCTCTATTGGAGGTGTTGCTCACGAAACGAAGAAAAGGTTCTCTAAAGAATCATTGCGCAATTTTGCAACAGCACCACTCAAATAAAGGTAGCCAGCGCTGCATGTGTCGCATCTGTTGGTGTCACGAGCGACACAAAATGTGCCTTTTTGCTTATGCATATTACTCTCATTGCAGCACTATGTCCTTTCAGTTTCAATAGGCAGGATGTTAGTCATCAATGTGATGTATCTATCTGCCTGTTCCGACACAGATATTCTTCTCACAGATGTGATAATTACGATGTTGTAGTTCACGGACCTTTTAAGAATTACCTTCCTGTTCCTTCTTAGTCCACACTTTTATCCAATCCCCTCCCCAGCTCTCTACCTCCCTCTCTCCCCAACTCTCTCTCTCTCTCTCTCTCGCTCTCTCTCTCTCTCGCTCTCTCGCTCTCTCGCTCTCTCGCTCTCTCGCTCTCTCGCTCTCTCGCTCTCTCGCTCTCTCGCTCTCTCGCTCTCTCGCTCTCTCGCTCTCTCGCTCTCTCGCTCTCTCGCTCTCTCGCTCTCTCGCTCTCTCGCTCTCTCGCTCTCTCGCTCTCTCGCTCTCTCGCTCTCTCTCTCTCTCTCTCTCTCTCTCTCTCTCTCTCTCTCTCTTTCTCTCTCTCTCTCTCTCTCTCTCTCTCTCTCTCTCTCTCTCTCTCTCTCTCTCTCTCTCTCTGTGTGCTCGACGGAGCGTATCCAGGCGACTCTTCACTGTCACGGCCGTGCTCTCTCTACCGTGACCGTGACCTTGACCTCTAGCGTGACCGCGAACGCATGCACCGACGCCGTGGCTTCTGACTTCCACTTCGCGCGGGCTTCGTTTGCGGTTACACGCTTGGTTCCAGTCCAGTGAAGCGGATAATTTTGGCGGCTGGGTTTCAATAGTTCCTTGCGGATTCGGTGCGTGATAGATCTTGACGACGTGGGTATGGGATGGTAAGAGGAGGGGGGGGGGGGGGGGTAGGACTTGTGGCTAGGGATGAGCTAATTCGGACCAAATGTGATTACGCGAAGGTTATTAGATACCTATTAGAAGCAATGTTGTTATGGTATCAGGAATTCAAGGCACAAACTCATCTATATTTTCATGACTCTGTGATCAACCGTGGCATGCTGAGTGACCTATGAATACTAAGCAGGCGTCAATGCTCAATTGATATCGATCATTTAGCAATAAAGCAATACAACTGAGTAATCATTTATGGGGGTATTCTATTCATATCATACATATATTACACAAGTTTTTTTTTTTAAATAGTCTTAAAAAGGCAATGCAAAATAAAATGAAACTGGATGCGTCAGAGAACAAATTACTTTGTAAATCCTCATCACATCCCAAATAAAACCAGCAGCCATGTATCTCCACGCCCAATAATGCTCCCTCTGAAGCGCCTGGAACAACGACAAACAAGCACAAAAATGTGGACAGCACCCCAAAGCCATATTGTGCTAAAACGCCATCTCTGTGAATCCTTTCTTTCCACATTTGTTCCTCCTGTCCGTCCGTTCTCGTACCACGCCCGAGGCTAGACGTTCGCGTGGCCGGCGGCTATCGACCCCTAGGGTAGCCGTTGTCAGAACAGAAAGCTCTGAGCTTGATCGATGCCGTGTTGGCTAAAGGAAGGTGACAAAGGCACCCTCCCGCCCCGGCGGATTGTATTGGGCCAGACACTAAGTGGGTGGGTGCCATTGAGGCATTGGGGTGCTTTCTGTGGTAGGAGGTACGGATGAGAAGTTGCAGCAGCGAGCTGTGCGGCTCTCTATTCAGCTGAGATGGCTAATTAGAAGCGTGGCTGCGCAGCGGCTCGGAAGGGTGGTTTTTGTGGTACCTAGAGGAGAATGTTTGGTGATCTTGCATCATATGTGTGAATAGTGTAGACATTTTTGTTGAATTTCTCAGGAATTCTTATCCATTTCATAGGTATAACGATTCTCGAGACGAAATTAGAAGCTTTGTGTTTTACTTTTAGATCAATAAGGCTCTAGTTTCAATTTTGCTCTTACACTTAGCAATGCAACGTTGCCATTAGTTTTCTACCTTTCCATTCGGGCATATCTCATATCCATAACTCATACCCGTTATGCACACCGCGATAACTCGTTGCAGCTTTACTGTCGGGAAGTATGAGTCATGACATACGAACTAGTCAGCTCGTTCAATTCCAGTATAGCACAAGGCTACGGAAACGGGGCCAACGAGCTACACTGTGACCATTTGTTCCGCTTTACGTAATGGGATACAATACAATACAGCAAGGTGCAGTGTTCGTGTGCATTGTGTATTTCCCATCCTTGCACATTAGCGATGTACGTTAGCAAATTAGATTTCAAACAGATAAGCACCCAAAGTAAGAAGGGATGGTATCGGAACAGAACTGAATCGGATATAAGCGAACACCCACCGATAATGTATTATAAATGTGCATATCGCCCCTCCCTCTGACCTGAAGCCAGTCAGCCCACCCTAGAGCTCTCCCTGTCTCCGACCTCTCCCTCT